ATTATTCATTATTATACTTAAAAATAATATTTTATTTCTTAGAAATGTATTCCTGATTTTAAGTGTTTTTTTTTATCTTAATTAAAAAAAAAAGGGTTAAATTAATGAATTATATATGTTTTAGCAGTAGTGGATTCAGAGCCCCATACCTCACTATATCAACATTCCATTAATATTTACAAATAAATATTAACACGTGTATTTCACTGTAGTTATATGGTTATATTTTTGGAATAATAATAATAATCATATCAGTAATTATTGGATTTAAAATAGATAAAATAGATAAATAGATAAAATTTATCATAAAATGCTATTTTAGATTAATTTGTTTGTAGTATTTCTTTTTTATATAATTATCACACAGTTTTTATGCAAAAAAAAAGTTTTACTTATGATTTATAAAATTTACACCACCCCATAATTATTCTGTCGATATACTATTATTATTATATAATAATATATTATTTGAAATAACTATAAAACTAAATAATTCATCACGCGGGATAAGTTTAATGTTTATTTTGCATTATATGGTATGCAAAATATAGCATAATTATATGGTATATATAGCATATATACTAGTAAAAATAATACAATAATAATATTATAATATTATAATAATATAAAATTATAAAATTATTATTCTAAATTAAGAAATTATTAATAATAATATTATAATAATAATTGGTACCAGTTTAATTGGTATAGCATATATATGGTATATATAGCATAATATAGTATATAAAATATTTTTTTGCATTATATGGTTTGTATTATTTTTTTTTTTTATGTATATTTTTAATTATTTAAAATAAAAAACAATATAGATTTTATAGCTAAAATAGAGATAAAGATAGAATAGTGTGAGTTTAGGTATAGTACTATGGTCTTTGTTTGCCTTTCAGGATAGGTATGTAAAAATCTAATATGCACTAATATAATTCATGGGAAGCTTAACTTCTTAACTATCCCACACACCGCTTATTTAGTAACCAAATCAACTTAATAGTACATAAAATAAGTTAATATTTTCTCCACTGCATGGAAAAACAATGAATCATTTTATACGAGTATATATACTCTATATACTATATTTTTGCGGATTCTTAAAATGCGAAGTTGGTTATGAAAACTAAACTATAACGGTCAAAAAAAAAAATCTCATCTGGACTAAAAACACGCCCACATATATATATATATATATATATATATATATATATATATTATGTGCGTTTATATTTCAATATCATTTCTTTCAATAATTGTATGGTTAATTATTAATGTGATGAGTTTAATAGACCTTTAAAATATAATAAATATATTAAACAAAAAACAAATAAGTAGATAGGTAGCGCTTTCACTGGATAATTTCTCCCTTAACGTGTCTCATACTAAATTCTCACTTATCACATATTCCCACTGTGCCCAAGAACATATATTACATATTTAAAATAAATAAATAAATAAATAATAAGTATAATACAGTACAAAAAGCTATCAGTATTTTCAGTATTTTTGAATTTTAGTATAGCACCATGTTACCTATATGTGGGTTGGTTTGATTATTAATTAATAATATAACGTTTATCATAATATGATGGTAACAATAGTAATAAAAACGTAAAACCAATTACTAACTTCCTAACTGTGCCAGGTATTCAAAACGCGTATTTACATTTAATCCTCTCCGGAGACCAGAATACGCGTATAAAGCCGCACATTGTATATTATAATATTATATATGTATGTGTACATAGCATATACATGATAAGTATTATAATAACAATACGAGAACAAAAAATAATAATAATTATGAAAACCGCATAATTTGACCTATACACGTATATATATAATGTGTGTACAATGGTATAAGTGATAACTGCCGTGTGTACCTATATATATATATATATGTATGCAACATGTTATTATATCAGTTGACAAATGGCGTACCTCGTTCGGACCATTTAAATATACGGATAATTAAGCACGAGGACTTTTGTGTTTTATGTTTTTTCAGGTCTCGTTAATGTCATATTATATTAACATTATATATTAGTTATGTAATATTAAATCGAGAGAAAACCGACAACGTTCGTTGGACTTTTATAACCAACATCGGTAATCTGTTCATGCTTAAACATGAATTAGTCATATACTTCTTGTAATTCAATAATAATGTCCAACAGATCAACCCCAACATTTTTCTACAAGAAAAAAACTTTGTTAATAAATAAAGTTGTGGTGTTAAAATAAAGTTCGTTTCGCAAAACTTAAAAAATCCTTACTGTTGAGAATTAAATACAAAAAAAAAAATCAAGAATTGGTCTAACAAAACCCAACAGAATAAACTTATTGTTTTTTTATCAGAAAAAAAAATAATACTAATACATACATTGCTAAAAATATACGATGAAAATACTATTCTAAGCCACGTTATGCACAAACTACGTACACGTTATTTCCTATTGCAAATCAAGTTTAACCTTAAATAGTATGTAGAACTTATAATCATTAAATCCAACTACTTTAGACTAAAGAAACATAAAGCAAAAGATGACAAACAAAAATGTTTTCATTTTTTTTTTTTTTTTTTTGAAAAATTTGTTAATTTACTTAATTATTTAATTAAAATAAGACCTGTCTGTAATACAGGTTGTACAATAGTTATTGTCAACAGCGAGTTATATGTTTGAAGTCAATATTTTTACCTATAACCGTTACCAATAGTACTCTAGAATAATAAATTGTATACATATTGTATGTATTGAAATTATATTTATTATTAAATATTTGATTTTTGATCTGTGTACAACTGTACAACAATCACGACAAAATTCTTAGCACTTAACAAATATTCACCATAGTATTATATTTTTTTTTTATTACTGCGTATTAATAAAAAATTTAAAGTCGAATCGAGCTGATTGAAAAAATTGTATTTTACTCCTTTTAAACACCTTGCAAAAATTTATTAAAATATTCAACGGTCTATTTTATCGTAAAAACGTTGCATCTTGTACAATATTGTAATATATGATAAGTATGATCAAAAATGTCAGGTATACGTCACGACAGAAATACGATAAGAATATGAAATTTCCTATTGTTTATATGAGTATACACATCATTGTAATGGCAATCGACCCGTTTTGCACGCCTCAATCAAATTTTGGCAGTACACGAGATTGTTCTATTATGATAAATAAAATGTCGAGCTCGAGCATCGAATGCTATATATTACATATACGTACAATTGACACTTGGTCAAAGATGAGAAAATTAATGATTTTTTCAACTGTATATAGTTAAGTTACTTCAACGTATAAACAAATAAAGTTAGAATATAAATTGGTTTCCAAAACATCCCGAATTTCCAAATCAGTTTGTAAAAGTTAGTTCTCATGTATAGTTTAAAATACAAATTCAAAATCATATTTGTTCAAATGTGTAATAACAACTACCTATAGCGGAGGTTTAAATTGTATTGCATTACAACAATATTTTTAATTTATAATAAATAATATAATAAAAATATATCTATTTTAACCAGACTTGGAAAAAAAAACAGATTTTTTTTTTAAATAATACAAAACAAACGTTTTATTTATTTAAGATATTGTTTTTTTAATGTTATAAAGAACTTATAAAAAAACAATTTATAATTTGATTTATAACAATGTTTTGATTTAAGAGTAATATATAAATAAATTATAAGTTAGAGATTATTTTTATATAATTAACGTCATTGTATATACCGTGATCTTCAAACAAAATGTATTTCCATAAAAAAATTACAATATTACTTTATTATTTTTTAAACATTTCAAATAAAACCACTTGTTTAAAACACATTCCAACCCTGATTTTATTACAATAAATACTAAATATTAATTATTATTTAATTTCCACTAGGTATTCTTATTACGTTTTACAGATTATTGAAATTTTTGAAGTGAAAAAAACTCTATATAGTTACTTTTTATTTTTAACGCACGTTACTTTAGATCATACAACTCGTTAAATAAGAAAGTCATTATGAATATAACCAACTTTCTTACTTACTTAACTTTATCAATTTTACTAGTTATAGCCCAACTTGGAACACTTTTTAATGTTTTTAGCGTTGGTTTATAGGTATATTTATTAAATATAAACCCAATATTATGTTTATAATGTGTATTGTACATATTCATGATTTGAATGCGATATAAATAAACAAAATATACGTCGATAACACCGTATACCCGTAGACATAATGTATCGTTTATTATTAAGATTTAACATACTCATACATCTCGATGTATAACTATGATACGATTAGTCCGTCAGTTTGCACTGTTTGCAATGTTCGTCTTAACGCGTTCTTTGTAGAGAAAAGTTACACTTACACAAATATCCAGTAAGAAAAAACGCTTTATTGAATATTTAAATGAAAATACGACCAAAGAACAAACGAGAATGTTCAATTATGTTTTGAAAAATAACATTATTGTTATTATTATATTTTATGGATTTAAAAGAAAAACCAGCAACCGTTAACTTCAATTTTTCCATGTACGTACGTAGGCTGTCCGATAAAATAAGGTACAAAGTTATTTTTGGCGTAAACAATAGACGATATCGGCTTGAAATTTCCAGCATTGATAATATATGTAACAAACAACGTATTCTATGCATCATGACTATTTTACTTTAGTGTTCCGTCGAATACGTAAGTTTAAACATGGAAAACCAATATTCAGGCGCGTACTGGCTCCTTTTTCTGTACCGGGAAATGTTTAAGTGGGGCCCATAATATTTTATATTCATTTTTTTAACAGATCAAAGTAAAAATAAAGAAAAACATAATAATTAGAAATAAACAGATTTTATTTCTTGGATTAATACAATTAAAACATAAAATAAGTTTATTGTTAAACTAGTAAGAAACAATTTAATTCATATTTAATAATAACTTAACTTATATTTTTTAAAAACAATGGATAAAATTAAAAAAATCATACTTTTAATAACCTTAGCATTTCACTACTTTTTTCACACATGAAATCAATAACTGCGTCTGGTGATATGTCTAGTAATAATTCTCTTTCACAATTCATTAAAAACAGAGCTTCTAAGTTTTCTTGGTTTATACAGCTTCTTAATCGAGTTTTGATTATTTTTAATTTTGAAAATGAGCGTTCGCACGTTACTTGTGTTAATGGAATGGTTAATAAAAATAAATATACTTTAAAAAGCTCCTTGTATTCTAACGAATACATATTGTATTTATGTATTATATTTGCCACACACAATAAACATTTCATACAATTTTCTTCTTTTTTACACACAAAGTTATCGTCTTCAAAATAATCTTCTGAATCGTATTCTGGTTCATAAATATCATCAGTATTTTTCAAAGTTGTTTTAGAAATTGTTGGCCAAAAATGTGCAAATGACTTCAATTGTTCTAAAAGAACATGATTATCGATCGTAGGTAATAACTGGGAAATTTCGTTCATGGCATTAGGGTTTATTCCATTGTCTCTAATGTCTTTAAACCTTCTAGGATCAAACAGCTCTAAATCTCCGTAAAGCTCTTTACAGTGGGCGAATCTTTGTTCCATACTTGTAACTACGACGTCCATCGTTGGAAAAAATGTATTAATTTTAAAATTGTCTTCAGGAGTGTGAATAGTTTCTTCATAATCTATTTTACCCTCCAATCTTCGTGATACCATTCGCTTTCGTTTTTGAGGAATTTCAAACTCTATTTCTATTTCATTTTCTTCTTTCCAAATTTTTTCAGAGACAAAATTAATAAAAATCTTAGCTGCTGTACTTATTGGAGTAAAATTTCGTTGATTTTGCTTTAATAATTTTTCTGTAACAACAATTTTTCTATAAGCTTGGATATAATCAAGATTTGATGTTTGTAAATAATCAGACAGTGGAGTTGTCAACTTAAATATTTGAAGAAATGTCATTGCTGTTAATGTGGTCTCATAGCTCGTAAGGCGACCCAACAAACTTCTTGCATTACTTCTAATATTAACATTAAAATCATTGGATTGTGAAATTTCATAAAGGGATAGAACTATTTTAACATATATAAAAGATTTCCGTTCTCCGTGTTGAGCTTCAACTATCCACATATCAGCTCGACCAAATATCTTTTGTACTGAATCACTTTTACATCGCCAACGAGTAGCTCCAATATTGATTAAATGTGAAGAACGATCATTATTTCCTTCATAAATATTAAGCCTTTTATAAGACTCTTTAAAAAACACATATAGTTCTTGCATAAGTCCAAAAAATGAAATAACTGTCACAGAGTATGAAGTGGTTTGCTGCAATACTAAATTTAAGATATGTGCATAGCACCATGTATGTATATGTCTAGGTGACACTTCTTTAAGTTTTGCTTGTACACCTTGATATTGTCCATTCATGTTCGCTGCGCCATCAAACGCATCAGCAATACAATTTTTCAAATTAACGTTCATTGAGTTTAAAGTTATTCTCAATAAGTCAAAAAGTGCTTGACCAGATGATGATACTGCTTTTTTCAAAGCTACTACTCTTTCTATAACATCAATTCTTGATATATTATCATTGACTGTGTCTCGTACATATCGTAAGACAAAGACACACTGATCATGAGTAGAAATATCCATTGTTGAATCCATGGTTATTGAATATTCGCCAGCAGAGTTTACTTCTTCCGATATTTTATTCAACATTAATTTATGTATCGTTTTAATAATATTTGTTATTGTTGTTGGACTTAGAAAAGTAAATAAACTTCCTCTACCGGTTCCTTTGCCTTTTGTTCGTTTTTTGCTTTCAACTATTACATTGTTGACGTGATCATTTAAATTTATATCAGTTTTTGCCAATAATAGAACAATTTCTAAAAAAATACCATGATTCACGGTTGGATTGTCCAATTCGCAAGCAGCCTCATGTCTATGTCCCCGAAATGATAATCCTTGTTTGCCAATGAATTTTACTATTTCTACTATTGTTTTAGCTGCTAATCTTCTCTTTATTACTTCATGTTCTCTTTGACTCCACTGGACTCTGTTAAATAATCCATCAACACTTTCTCCCTGACTATCACTCATATAATATTTTGACGACTCTCTGTGGTTTTTCGACTCTTCGTGATCTTTTATACGTTCATACGCATGCACCCAGTCTTCAAATCCTTCAACACTTGTGAACACCGATTTTTTAGAAGAATAAACCAGACATATAGAGCAAAATAATGAATTTTGTTTGTAACTAAAAGTTAACCAATTTCTTTTTATTTTTTTTTTGTGACCCTGGAATTTCTACATAATAAGCTTTGGAAGTATTAAATGGTAATTGGGTGCCATCAATTTTTTTTTCTGGATGCTGTGGATGAAATGAAAAAAATCTTTGAATATTTTGTTTTCCGCGTGGCTTTATAAAATAGTTAAAATCAGTTTCATCGACAATATTGACAATATTATCTATGTGTGGCAGATCAGAATACTCAAAAGTCTTTGAAGTTTCATTATACTGGGTTAAGGTGGTTTTTGGTAATAGGCGTAGCTGTTGACTTAATAATTCTGTTTGTTTATAATTCTCGGATATTATATTTCCAGAGTCTGTAGAAATATGTAAATCAGTTAAAGTAGATGTAGAAGGTGAAAAAAAACAATGTGTTAAATCAATATTAGATGTATGGACTTGAGATATTAGCGGTGAATTTGGTAAAACTTTTTCAGAATTACATTCAGTCTGATTTGACTCTAGATTTTGATTTTTTTTCAGTTCAGCGGAATCCTGATTTAAAACAGTGGGTGTGAAAAAATTTGTCAATTTTTTAGATTTAGAGACAATTTCATCGAGACGTTTTTTGTTTTGCTCTTTTCGTTTAAGATAGCCACTTTTTTGGATTTTTTTCTTTTGATTATTCTGTTCCATTGTGAACTATAAATACAAATTTAAATTTAAAAATATACTTATCGATTAAATGTTTGATAAAAATATAAATAAAATAATGAGTAATAGAATAGGTTTGTAAAACAACATTCTAGTTCACCAGTGATAATAATATTATATACCGACCTGATTAATTAAAATTATTAAGATGAAGGAAAATGTATTATTTCTGAGAATTAATTTGAATTAGTTTAATTATTCAATATAATAATAATTAATAATGTACTCCTTATTCTTGTATAAAAATAAAACTCGATATGAGCCTATTTATAAGTAAAAATATACGAATAAACTATCCAAATTACATTATTTAGTAATATCTTTTAATAAACGATTATACATATTTACATTATTGATAAATAAATTACAAAATTAATAATAACATTAATAACCAATAGATTAAAAATTTAGATTTAGATTAAAAATACGACTAAGAATACGTAACATTAATCAACTCATGTTTCATTATGTCAATAGTTAATAATAAGTTAGTAACTTATACATTGACTTTTCTGTGTATTAACTTAAAAATTATGTCTTAATGTTATTACTTTTTTTGTGCATAACAGCACACCAAATCTCAAATAATTTTAACATTATAAACATAAACTATTTTCAATTCATTTAAACTATTATTTTAGTAATTCGTATTGAGAAATTAAAATTACTTTAGAAAAAAAAAAAACAAAAACTTACCTGTTTGGACTGTATGGCAATCAGGTTAAACTGTCAAATATGTAGGAAATAAGTGGGTAATACGAACGACAACGAAGATCACTTGATGACAAAATTTAAATAAATGAAATAAAATACGTTTAATATTATTGACGATAGTAAATATAAATCAAACCAATTTAAAAATAACTTTATTATCAACAAAACCAGTCGGACGTCGCGCGTCGGTGTTAACTGTATAGTGAATTACATATACATATTGTTTTGTCTGTTTATCTGTTTATTTTCATAAATCATAAGAGTTATTCTAAAGAAAAAAATATTTTTGCGACGAACATACGCATTAGTAATGAATGATCTGAAAGTTAGTATACCAAAAATAAATTGCATTATTAGTGACTTACTAACGAAATCATTATTTGTCATTTTATGTTATTTTCTCTTTTCAAAATTATTCAATTAAAAATTGCTAAAAACAACAAAATTACTAAATAAAACTTAAACTAGTACTTAATTGATAGGGGGCCCAGCTCTTATAATATTTTAGAGGGCCTACCGGGATTTTCCCGGTATCCCGGTGGGCCAGTACGCGCCTGCCAATATTTAAGTTTCACAAAAGAAGAAGTTCGCGCCGTCGTTCGGTTTTTTAATTTTCAAAATGTTTCTCCGACTGAAATTCATAGAAAATTAACCGAAGTTTATGGCCCGCACGTAATGTCTCGAAAAAGTGTATCGGTTTGGTGTACAAAATTTAATTCAGGTCGAGAAAGTGTTGAAGATGAAGCAAGAAATGGTCGACCAATAAGCATGTCCACCGCCGAAACCATTGAGGCGGTCGAAAAATTGTTACGATCGGATAGACGACTTAAAATTAGGGAAATGGCTACACAACTTGATCTACCAAAGACCACTGTACATGAAAATGTCCATGAGAAATTAAATTTTCGTAAGGTTTGTTCACGTTGGGTTCCGAAAATGCTTACACCAGACCCCACATTCAGCGGGAAAGACTAAAGCTTGGCTGGAAAAGTACAAGTGGGAATTATTGCAACATCCACCATATAGTCCTGATCTGGCACCTTCAGATTTTTTTTTGTTCGGTCCGTTAAAAAAAACACTTAGGAGGAACTCATTTTCAAAATTAAGAGGAGGTAATGAACGCAGTTACAGAGTACTTCGATGAAAAATGTGCTGCATATTTCCGAGATAGCATTTTCAAATTATTCCATCGTTGGGAAAAATGCATCAATTTAAATGGTGACTATATAGAAAAATAGCAAAATATGTCTAATTTATTGTGTAGAAGTTTTATAGTAATAAATTCATTTTTCATTATTCGGTATATTTTTGTACCTTATTTATCGGACAGCCTACGTATATTACATTTCTCAAATATTATAAATACCTGTTTATTATAACCACAAGATATGCATTTAAATGCATTATGTGCTGCTTTAATAATAATATTCATTACACGATTGTTAATAATTGTTCATATTTCAATGTTGTTTAAATGATAATCATTTTTAAACCTAAAAATAATTTGTGAGCAATGCGATCGACTCATGGATAGATATACGAGTATGGTTGGCTATTGGCAAATAATTATGCATTCTACACATTCTGAAATTACATAACTAAAGCATGTATACAGATAGTGCCAATTAAACCAACCTTGTAATGAAATCGACATTCATGTATTTTGTACAAACTATATACCTAAGCATAAGTATAATATTATATTATACTCGTTGATGAGGTTTACCGTTAACTATTTTTAATGTAAAAATAATACACAAAGGTATAAAAGGTGTATTTGTTTATCGCAAAATATATTTTACTAAGTCTTTCACTATATTATAGGGCCTGTGCTTGGGGTGGAAAGTAAAAATTCCCGTTGTATTTGAGTTCAAAATATTTATGTTCACTCGAGTAAACATTTGTTACAGATGTTGCTAGCGAGACGAAAGTTCACACGTATATCTATCAGCAGCATCTCTGTATCTCTCTTTTTTTGATCTCATTTGTTCCTCTATGTTTTATTTCCTCCCTCGTTTGACCCCTCTCATTCTATCTCTCCTAGTCTTCTATCACACTCTTCCACTCAATCGCTAAAAACGCGTGGCTGGTCTATTGTCTGTTCGTGGCTGATAAACTTGCAGAGCCGTAACGCTATTTGTTAAAAGTCACGCAAGTTAATCAACGATTAGATTTAAATGTTTGATTTAAACGATATAGGAAATTGCACAAAGTATAATTATATTATATACAATTACACATGGAACAAATAATTTAATATTTGGTATGTCAGACCTTAAACATAAATATGGTATAGGTAATTATATATAATTGTCTTTGATATTTGAATAACCAGTAACATAACCAAATAAAGCAAACGCCTTACGTAAGAAGAGACGATAAAAAAAAAATAGCAGATTAAACCACAGAAACAATATTTTTCATCATATTATATTATAATTATGTGCATTGTATAGATATATAAAATAATATTGGATAATATAGTGTATTACAATGTGAAACATATTTATCTACGTTTATGCTGATTTCTGACGTAATTGTGTACGTGTATATTGTAGGAGCTTATTAAATTATTGAGTGTCACTTTAAATACTTCAAAATTAAAAAGAATATTAAATCAAAAAATAAACTATCAGGAACGCTGTATGTTACTGTATACAGTTATGTCCGCGAATGTATACGGCGGTCGTATACTTAAATAACGTCCACTAGGACAGGCAAACCAATAAATAACTTATAACACGAATTATAGTATTTTAACAATGGACTGTATTTCCTTATCCCTATAAATATAAGTGCACAATTTAAACATCAAGTTTTTAAAGAGCTGATGGAAGCTTGTAAAAAAATGTTGAATCACCACTTTTTAAGTTGAATAAAAAAATCTAAATAATTTAAGCTATGGTCCTTAAGTAAATGTCTTAAAAAAAAAAAAAAATTAACAAGAAATTTATTATTTAACAAAATTATGTAGTTACTAATTTAACATACTTGGTAAATCTCTTTACTTAAACGAAATATTTATTGTGTTTTTAGAGTGTAGCGCTAAAAGATTAGCAGTATCTGTACAATTTATTTTCATGTTTTAATTTATTTGTATACAATATTATTACTAAAATATTTAATTTTTCATCACCGTCATACCAAAATGTGTTTTATTTATTCACACGTACATATTTAGCTCGAAAAAATGATTACAAAAGCTCGAAACATATATTTTTATTAACGTTTGAATAAAATATTTCACGAACAATTAAGTATAATAATATTACCATGTAAATTATAAATATATTCGGTCGATGTATTTATTATATGAGCAAGCTAAAATAATTTTAAAATCTCTATTTGTTCCAATTAATTCTAACTAACGACAATATGGTTATTTCACGCTGTATATGGTTGTTACAACTCATTCCAGTATATAATAAATTGGTAGCTTTTAATGTGTATTCATATTTTTTTACTTATTGAGTTTTCAACATAATGTTTTTTTTTACAATTTATTGTGTAACCTTGGGGTAACATTAAAATAAAATAATACTAAAATATGATCGGTTATTATATAAACTACTAATAATATCATTATTAATTATGTTTAGACGATATGATGATAATTATAATAATAGTAAAAAAAAAATACGTAAATAGGTATAAGGAGGGTAAATGAGATAAGTGGATAATTTATGAAACTTTTATTGGAAAAAAAATCTATTACTTGAACTGATAAAAAATGATGAGCAACGATGAGGAGGACATTGCTGTTGTAAACTACTCACGCGTGACCGTTGTATAGCAAGGAAGTGAAAATGCCACCGTACCGGGATTAGTTTAAGTGAGATTTTGGGTTGAATTATTAATATGTCTTACCAGAAGTTTCAGAACTTTAGAACACTTTTTCGCGATAATGGTTAACACGTTTTGCTGACGTTTAGCTAACATACACTTTTAGACAAAGTGGCTTCTATATGGGATACTGTATAAGGACTGTTGATAGCAAATGATGGAAGTCCAGATCAGTTTGGTATTAAATGTTGTTTGACGTATTTCATGTTGTGTAAAAAATCCAGAAATACAGTGATGCAGAATTATACCATGCTAGTTAATTAGTAAGTATTCATTTATACAACTTAGGTGTGTTACAATGAGGGAATTAAATTTAGAAATTAATTTAATAATTTCAATATTAAAAGGTTGAGCGTCTACTACATACATCCTACGATAATAACAAAATGTCTTCAAGATTTTTCCCGACAGAATTTGGGTTATTT